GAATTTGTAAAGAACCAAACATGGTCTGAATCCAAGTCATAATCCAAGTAGAAATGAGTGCTGGATGGATTTTTTTACCCAATTTTTAATGACATATGATATCTAACATGGAGATCATAAATATGAAAAAATAAATAAATTAAATAATTAAAAATAATATTTTTATGACAAAATCATTGGGACAGTTATTTGCGATTTATCTTTAAGATGGATGCTTTATACCTAAGGGGTCGCAAATGTAGAAATGCGTCCCCCAAAGCATGAAACAATTTTCCTTCACTATAAGGGATGAATGAGCCAATTAAATCTGAGGAAGTCCCAAGTTGTTTAAACAAGTTGTAAAAATTATAACATTAAGTAGGATTTTACTTATCGGGCAAGAAACCATAAGAGAAACTTGTGAATATGTAACCGTAAATCAGCCCACACTATGTGGCAGCTCTAGCTCTTACCTAGTCAAAGTTAATTAAAGGCTGAGAATAAACATTACAAAACCCAAATAGGGACATTACAGCAGGGTTATGTTAAGGTGTTCATATTATAAATAAATTTATAATTTTATACTTTGGACTCTTTTATATTATTGTTTTATTTATAGAGTATTTTTTTAGCAAGAGTATTTTTTATAGTTAGGAGGGATGAGACATCATCCACATGGGATGTAACATCACACACATGCATGATGTCTCACCCCTCCTAATAATAAAAAATATAAAAAAAAAAAATTGTATTACAAAACAAGTGTATATAAGTGTCCAAAATTTGTTGAGTGCAATTATAAAATGCTCTATAATATGAGTACTCTAACATAACCCATTACAAAAAAAAAAAAAGAAACAAAACAAAAAAAGACAAACTAATGCCTCATGCTTTTCAATACAACTTGAAATATTCTATAACTTGTAAACACTTGTATCAACTTAAAGACTTCATTATGACCAGAGGTGGGTGCAATAAGAATTGAAGTTAGCCATCAAAATAATCTAAAGTAAAATATATCTAAACATTTGTATCAACTTAAAGACTTCATTATGACCAGAGGTGGGTGCAATAAGAATTGAAGTTAGCCGTCAAAATAATCTAAAGTAAAATATATCAAGTACATCTAGATTAGGAGATACACATTAAGATTGTAGTTTGCAATAGAAATGCAAATTTATGATGGGTGCGGTTTTGTAAAAAGCCTAGGCTCTAAACAATCAAATTAGAGCCTACCTTCAAATAGTGTTGAGAAATGTGGTTTCAATACTGAAAATCTTTGTGATAGTGTTAAAATATATTTTCATCTTTATTTATAAAGTTTAAAGCTTAAAAAATAGTGTAGCTCGACTGATCTATGGAAACTTGAAAATCTTGAAAATTTACGTTCCAAAAATACTTATAAAATATACTATTTTTAAAACTTGAAATCCATTTTTTTTTCTCATATCCATGCATCTTGATGTTGAGATGATCAATTTAAGGATATTTGAGCATCAAAACAACTCTTCTAGTGAATTTTTTAAGGTAGGCTCTAATGTGATTGTTTAGGGCCTCGGCGCTATGTAAACTTTTCCTGTTTATGATATCTATATATTGGCAATTGAAAATAAGAACTAGATATAGCAAAATAACAACAAAAAATTATGAAAAATATATGACTATTACAAAAAATTAATAAGGCAACTGATGAAAGGATCTTTTATTTTTTTTGTAAACTAAAATTGTTTGGATAAAGCCGACGCTTAGCGATATTCAATCACAGGGAGAAACACAATCACATAAAAGGGTGCAGTTTGTATAGAGCCTAGGCTCTAAACAATAAAATTAGAGCCTATCTTCAAATAGTGTCTGGAAATGTGGTTTAAATACTGGAAATCTTTTTGAGAGCCTTAAAATATATTTTTTATTTTTATTTATAAAGTTTAAAACTTCAAAAAAATAGTGTAGATCGAGAGATCTATAAAAACTTTAAAATTGACAGTCCAAAAACGCGTTAGAAAATACACTATTTCCAAAATTTGAAATCCATTTTTTTTTTCTCATGCCCATGCATCTTGATGTTGAGATGATTAACTTGGGGATATTTGGGTATCAAAACAACCTTTTCTAGTGAAATTTTTTAGGTAGGATTGAATTTGATTGTTTAGAGCCTCGGCTCTATATAAACTTTTGCCCACATAAAAAGATGCAAAAGTAGCATTTTGAAGTATTTATAGGATGAAATTGTTAATAACTTGTTCATAAGAACTCATACCAATTTACATAGTCATTGAAAAGTAAATTAAGAACAAATTATAAGTGACTTATGCAAAAAATTATATGTGCTTTTGTATAAAAGGAAATTAAAAAATGAATTCATACTCCAAATTAAAACTATAAAATTTACTATTTTATAAATGAAGCGGTAATTCAGTCCCATCACAAGAAAGACAATAGAAGGTACATGGCCAAAATAAATACTAGAAAATGTATTCAGAAACAATTTATACCCAAAATTTAATATGTTATGAATCTGGATAATAAGCCCAAATATTTATCTCTTAAGAGAAACCCAAATTGAGTATTCAAAGAAAAATTGGAGATTCAATTTGGAGGATTTAATAGAGTAGCTATACAAACGAAAAAAACCAAGAAAACAAGAAGTTCACTAAAATTGATAAGGGATTGTCTATAAAGAGACCATTTATCTTTTTTAAATGGAGGTCATAATCATTCTTGTCCCTTAAATTTTAAAATGGGTGTTTGTAAGAGTGTCATTGAACAGACATAAAGTTCTAAAAAAAAATATATTCTTGGACTTTATCTCGCTCCAAGCCCTCCAATATGAGTGGGAATGATTGTGACCTCCATGTTCAAACGATAAATTGTCTCTTTGTAAACATTCCCAATTGATAACTAGCCCAATATGTCTCATTTATTCACAAAAATAAGAAAAATCTTTACCAATTTTTAAAAAATTTTATCAAACTAAAGGATCTTCTCATAGGATTTTAGGGCTAGAGATTCCAATATTTTAAAAGAAAAAAAAAAAGATTTACATAAGAAATATACTTAAATTCAAATGCCGAATTCTGGCTCTCGAAGTGAGGTTCTCTGAAGTTTGGGTTTGGTGCTTTGTGTGCTGTACAAATGACCTTAGTAGTGTGAATTAGTTCAACGACCCTAAACTTGACGTGTGGACTGATCCAAACTTGTCCATATAAGGTCGCGATGTGAAGTGGTTCAAACTGCCTAGGAGCTCCTCTCATCTATGTCCAAAAACCCTTAGCTCACACTATTAAGTGGTTTGAAATGTGGTTTGAAATGTCTGTGCGATATATACTCACTTCATTTCTCGATCTGATATTTCAAACATCAGACCGACTTTAAAATATATCCAATATATTTAATATTGGAATGAACCTCAAGGGATATGGATGGTCCATGTTCTTAATTCTAGACCCATCTTTATCATGAGGTAGGACGAGTTTGATATTTCAAATATCAAACAACCTATATTGATGGCAGTCCGATGTTTAAAACATTGGACAGCCTAGGCCACAAACAAAATTGAAAAAACAAAGGGAAAATTCCGTTAGACTTTCTAATTATCACACATTGGGGCAAAATATGGAAAATTAAATAGCATGGGGTGTTTGTTTAAAAATAAAAACACCAATCCGTTTTTGTAAATACCAGACCAATGTACTTCCACATAATTTTCCCATAAAATTAAAATAGTTCATAATAATTATGGTAAGGACGTAATGTTGCCTATATTTTTAAACTAAAAAGCTAACAAGCACTTGACAACTATAATAGATAGTAATATAGTTGTAATCTCTACCATCAGATCTTCATTGAGTGGTTCAAAATACATATCATTATCTGAATTTTAATCTTTTTTAGAAATATGATCGTGATAAAATTGGCATGTGTAATAAAAAACAGGGTGTATAAGAAAAAAATATATAGAACAAATAGTTTTTAAAATATAAAATAACCAAAATATCTCTAAAAAATGTAGGGCTAATTTTGTTATTTTAAAATCTTGAAAGTAATTTCTTTATATTTTTATATGGTGTGTAATGGTATCAAATATATACACCCAAAATGTCATCTCATATTTATATAAAAAAAAAAAAGAGATTAAAATTCAGATAATGATATGTATTTTAAGCCACCTTAACGGTCAGGATTCCACATCTAGTTTTTCTTTTGTCTTTAAAACCTAGAAAACGAGAAGGCGAAGCTTGAGTTATAAAACTGCAATTGGAGGCAAAGAGCCCACTTTTAAACTACTAGATTACATAGAGCTAGGCTAAAGAGCTACTTTTCCAGGTATTAAACTGAGTGTGAAGCCCACTCTTTAAAAGCTAGAAAACCTTAAGTGTCGGATTACTTTTGATATGGAAAGGTATATAATGAGACCATTTACTTATAGTACAAAGTGGTCACGATTAATCTTGACCATTGGATATGAAATTGGCTAAGCTCAAAGTTTAAAAGAAATTTTTTTAAACTTTGCGATACACCCAAGCTATTAGATTTCATATGGTTATAAATAATTGTGACCTCCCTGTGCCAAGGTAAATAGGAGAGGTTGGTTGTAGACATGAATGAAGAGATTACTGATGTAGGGCTGGCCACGATATGCTTCATGAGAGAGAAAGAGAGAGAGAGAGGATGTAGCAGCGAAGAAACTGGTCTACGAAGTAGAAGCCACGGAAGTTTGAGGGTTTTTTCATGGAAGTTTAAGGGCCTTTTCCTGTCAAGAGTAGATTGCAGACTGACCGTTCTCCTTAAACTTAACTTGATCCACATACGATACCTCCTGTAGCTTCACGGGTAGCCATTTCACGGGTGGTACTCATAGGCCTTCCCCATGCACTCTCAGAACCCAACTCCCAATGCTCTGCATTCTAACTCCAAACATGAGACCCAGGCTTTCTGCTCACCTATAAATTTGTCTCTCAATCCCTTAACCAGTGCCATGAAATTTAGAAATCTAGAGACCTCCAAATCCCCTCTCTAACGCCATGGGATCTGGGGTTTTCTCAGCCTCTTTGCTCATTCTCATGCTCCTTTTCTCCACCACACCACCAATCCTAGCATGCGATTACTGCAACCAACCACCACAACACTCCACCCCACCTTCCCACAACAACAAAAACCCTAAACCTAGAAACCCATCTCCCCATTTCACCAAACCACCCATTACTGGTCCCCCTAGAAGCCATTACCCACCTTATTACAACCCTAACCCTAACCCAAACCCAAACCCAAACCCAAACCCGAACCCCCCTACTTATGAATACCCACCTTATATAGGCACCCCTCCAGTTATAATTACCCCACCCACCCCCCCAACATGCCCTATAGATGCCCTAAAGCTGGGGGCCTGTGTGGATGTTTTGGGAGGCCTGGTGCATGTTGGGTTGGGTGACCCAGTTGCCAACACATGTTGCCCAGTACTTCAAGGCCTTCTGGAGCTGGAGGCTGCTGTGTGCTTGTGCATGAATATAAGGCTTAAGGTCCTCAATCTAAGCATATTTATTCCTCTAGCACTTCAAGTGCTTGTCACTTGTGGGATGAAGCCTCCTGAGGGTTTTGTGTGCCCACAAGTCTAGGGCGGGTCCATGAATAATGATGCCTTTTGAGAGGCTGCTCCTTCAGTCTTTGGTTTTGGGTTGTGAGTGTTTTTAGGCAGTGTTGAGGAGGTTTTGTTTCTTAAGCGGTTTTTTCTTTCATATTGCAAGGTAGAGAATTTGAAGGTCTACCGTGATGGTGTTCAAGCCTGTCACGCAAGTTCGATATAAAAGATTAGGGTTTGATAGGAATGTCACCAAGGAGTTGAGGTCTTTGTGGCTGTCTATCATGGACATTGGGCATTTCTTTAACATCATCTTTTCTCATGTCCATAGGACGGCAAATGAGATGGCCGATGGCTTACCTAGAAGGGGTGTCACATTGTTAGAATTGGAGATTTCTAATTCCTATGCTTTGTAATTGTACCTTTCTATTCCTTTTGGTCAATAAAAGTTTGTAACCTTGTAAGAAAAAAAAAGAAGAAGAAGCCAATTTTGCTCGTCAATCTTTTCTTTTTAGAGTGATTCGTACATACCCAAATACTTTACCTAAAACACAAAAGCTCTGTTTATAGCAGAAATTTCAAGAAAAGTCAGTCAGCACGTGCTTTTTTATTTTTCCAAAATTGTCTCTTGGTCCAAGAATGCCATCTACTAACAACATTTTAAGTTTTTTCTTTTTTAGTTGTTTTTTTCGTAAGGTATTGCCCCAAGATCAAGGGGCAGTGCCCAGGCCGTCCGAGGTTCGAATCCGAACTACCCTCTCGTTCATGAGTGGTCCGAAATTCCCATCCTCGAACTGCTCTTTCTTTTTTATATTTTGAGAACAATAGCAGTCCGAGGTTGCCATCCTCATACGTCCTCGTACCATGCAATACATATCATTTTTTTAGATAAAACAATTGTCCGACCTTGGACCGCTCTTTGGACTGAGAACAACTCAGTTCCAAGGCGGCCTGAGGTCTCCATTCTCAAACTGCTCTTTATTTCTTATTTTTTGAGATAAACAACGGTCCCAGAATGGGGACCTCAGACTGCTCAACATCTGTTTGAGGATTCTAACCTCCGACCACCTAGGTACTGCTCCTAGAGCTCAAGGCATTGCCCCACTAACAAAAAATCTTAAAATAAAAAAAAATTAAAATTAAAAAAAAAAAATGCAGTTCGATGATGGCATCCTTGAACCGATGGTCAATTTTGGTAAAAATAAAAAATTGCTGATCGACCGACTTTCTTTGTAATTTATACCTATAAATAGAGTATTTTGTGTTTGAGATAAAAATTTTGGTTCCGTACGTAAATCACTCTTTTCTTTAATTGGCATGCATTAGACAGTGTACGTCTCGAATATTTTGATGGAGAAATCCTTTTGTACTTCACATTTGATTCATTTTGTGTTTACTAACTTTGGACACGGTTTATATGAGTCCACGGACTCACATGTAAACATGCGAGCCCGGTGATAATTAATTTTTGAAATAAAATTTAATCCTAATTTTTAAAAAATATATAGTTTTTAACATGGAAATTATTAATCTATAAAAATAAATAAATTTTAAAAATTAGAAGTGATATTTTTTGGAAAACATATTTGAACAGGTGATTTTACTTGTTCTTTGAACAACTGGACCCGATTTTGGTGGACGGCATAATAACCGGCGGAGGCTTGGACGCACGAAACAACTTTCTTTTTGTATATAGTAACTTTTAATTGAACCCATCAAATACTTACCCAAAAAAAGAAAAAGTGAACCCAACAAATAGTGTGCCCTTTCTTGTTTTGATTGGTTCATGATCCATTAGCTTTTTGGAAAAGAGAAGAAAATTAAAGGAAATAGATGCTTGTACAGTTTGAAAACGTATGTTGAGGGAGAGACAAAATGATATGGGGGGCAAATACGTAAAGAATGTCCAGCACAGGAAAACATGGCACCAAATCTTAACGGCATGAAACTTTAACGCCAACTCATCCATTACCCTGCGGTGCCTTGTCTATCTAACGTCCAAGATGGATGTCAAAAAATATTACATCCAAAAGTTAAAATGAACCGTAAAAATAAAAAATAAATTTTATATTTTTTTAAAAAAAAATTTCCAAATATCATTGTCATGGTTGATATTATTGAACTCAAAAATTTTGGATCGAAAATACATTTTTGATATATATTTTGTAGGGAGACCGCACAAGAATAATGCGAGTCGGTGGACTCACCATTTTTTTTTCCTTTCATAAATAGTTTTTTAGGAAGGTTGCTCTAATAAATTATTTTTCTCTCTATAAAGGTCAAAAATTATTTTCCCTATCACAAAAAGGGTAATTATCCTCATCTCTCACATTACCCCTCTCCTCACCCATTTCTCTCTTTCTTCTTATTCTCCAAAATCTTTATATCTTTGTTTTCCTTTTCTCTCTCTAACTCTTTCCATTCATAGAAATCTCGCTCTAGTTCCATCTTGCCCTACCCGTTTCCATCTCTTTATCCCTACCATATTTTGCTTTCCCAAGATTCATTGCATTTAACCTCTTTTCATGGTAGAGATGTATCTTCAAACTTGCATCCAGATACCATCCAAACAACAAGAATGAATTTTACAGGCAAATATATTTCACATTCAATAGTTTTTTTTAACAATTTTTTCCAATCAGGCCATTTATCTTTTGTATAGGAAGGTCAGAATTACTTACAACCATCCAATGTAAAATCTAATATCTTGGGTATGTCATAAAGTTTGAGAAAATTTCTTTTGAACTTTAAATTTAGTCAATGAAATAAATGTAGCCACCAATTTCATATCCAATGGTCAAAAATAATTGTGACCACCTTATACTAAAGGTAAATGGTCTCATTATATACTTTCTCTTCTTTAATATATATAAATTTATGTATAATAATTAAAGGTTTTTTGGGTGATTCATGTTGAAGTCTTAATTTTTCAAATTTTTTAATTTAAAAAGTGCCCCCTTTCACAAAGTAGGAACATCCAACAACATGACTTCAGAATGCTCTTTTGGATCCAAAGAGTACTCAGTGGCTAAAATGCCTGTGGGGCCGCTCAAAATTCTAATTTTGAGCCAGACAATAGGTTTGATATTCATACCTTGAATTGTTTTTTTTTTTTTCTTCTTTTTTTTAAGGGGGTGGGAGTTTGTTTTGATGCTAGCAATCCTGAACTTGGTGTTTTTCCTTTTGTTTTTTGTTTTTTTTTTTAGGAGTGGGGGTTTGGAGTTAAATTTGGTTGAATAGTATGACTATCGAGCATTATATAGAACATCAAAGTGCTTTCCCTTTCCTTCAATGCCCTAGGAAATTTTCTGAGCATTCAGGCAGAAGGTTGGACTCTGTGCCTCATGAAGTGGTGCAATTTCAACTGTCTCTGCGCCGTACTATGTGACGCAGCTCTGTTTCGGTTCCCATTTTCGAAAGTTTCTCATTCTCATTTGAAGGCTGATTTTGCATTCTGAAATCTTCTGTGTGGCTCTACAAAAGGGCCTTAAGGCCATACCTTGGTCTTCATCCCCTAACTTCATACTCTACTTTAGGCTTCTGATCACCATGTCTTCTAAAAATCCAATCATATTTAGTAATTTAGACTCAGAGTTTTCTGTAGAGGAGTTTTGTTCTTGCCCAATTTGCACTCCTTCATCTTCCTTATCTCTTTCATCGAATGGATGGGGCGTCATCGACAGTAAGTATGAAGGCTCAAAAAAAAAAGGGTTTAGCTTTACTTTGATTTCTTATTCAAATTTGAGGGTCTATGCTTTGGCTCAATGTTGGGAAAATATTGACACGAGCCTATGTAAAAGTTGTCTCGAAGATGAGCCATGAATGTGGTCTCTTTGGTTAGGATTTAAGAAACCCTTTAGATGCATAAACAAGATTCCCAAAGTTGAATCCTACCAAGATCGTATACTTATCCAGCAATAAATAAAATAGGAGAGAGTATGTTTCATAATACGAGATAAAGCATGGAACAAACACGCCACAAGAATATAAAGATTTATGTGGTTCATCCCAAGAGGGTCGTATTCACGCGCACGACAAACTCAAATCCATTATACCTCTCGACAAAGGCTCCAAAAGGGCTACATCCACGGGTATGACAAACTCAACTCTAATATGCTAATGAAAGTTATATTACAAATTTTGAATGAAAATTACATTACAGATTTTGGGACAGAGAGTTACCTCTCTAGCTCTCGACAAAACTCAATTGAGCAAACCCTTTTAGACCCGCTCTCTCGATCAACACCACCCGTTAATCTCTCATCTCTAATCCACAGTTAAACCACTATCCAGGAAGAGACACATCTCTATTCCATAGCTAAACTGTTGTCTAGACATAGACCATTGCGAGCAACCGAGACTTTCTCTTACTAAAAGGGGAAACCACCCAAAATCTTCATGAAAAACCAATATCTCAATCTACAGGAGGCACATCCATGGTGATTTTGGGACAGAGAGTTACCTTTCTAGCTCTCGACAAAACCTAATCGAGTAAACCTTTTAGACCCACTCTCTTGATCAACACCACGGGTCAATCTCTCATATCTATTCCACATTTAAACCGCTATCCAGGAAGAGATACATCTCTATTCCATAGCTAAATCATTGTCCAAGAAGAGACCCTTGAGAGCAACTGAGACTTTCTCTCACTAAAAAGGGAACTACTTAAAATCTTTATGCGAGCTGCTTCTATACAAGAAATCAGCATCTCAATCTATAGGAGGCACGTTCATGGCATTTCTCTCCGTAGGACGCTATCTTCTATCTAAGAAGAAGTCTTGCTGATGTTAGGGAAGCTTTGCCTCTCTCTTTAAAGTAAACCACCTTTCCCATATGGTGACCCAAATAGAGCACACGAATTCTCAGCACTTTTATACTATATATATAATATTAGGAGTCCACACCAAATAGAAAACTTCCTATAGGTGTTGCATATATCTCGAGAACCAAGAGATATATCCCAAATTTCTAATATTTTTGTATTTCTATTTAATTTAGAAAACTTATCAATACAAATCACAATCTTGCATAATATAA